TTAGATATCTAAGGTAGCCCCTGAAGAGGCCCCAAAGAACCCTAAACCCTAAACCCTAAACCCTAAACCCTAAACCCATCCCGTATCAGGGTCTCTCCTTTGTCCCTTAAATTTGGTCCCCAAAGTTCCCCAACCACCGCGCTTCGGCCTGCAGCGCTGCGGCGCTCTCGCGCGCCTCGGAGGTCCCGGAGGCCACCTGAAGGGGTGAAAATCCTAAAGTCCTAAAATCCTAAACCCTAAATCCCTAAAACCCTAAGACCCTAAAATCCTAAACCCTAAATCCCTAAAACCCGAAGCCCTGAACCCTAAGCCCTGAACCCTGAAACCTGAACCCTAGACTAAACAAGAAACCCTGAGCCCTCATACCCTAATACTCAGCTAGGATGCGAAAGGTGTCGAAGCACTCGGCTTTTGGGGGCGCGGAGCGGCCCAATCAGCATGTTACTTTAAGAAGCGAATCGCTCGAAACACGAAATTTTCCCCTAGCAAAGAACCTTTTAAAGGCATGGAAGCCCTGGCATGGATGCCCTGGCATGGAACACATGCCCAGGGGGCCTTTTCTCATATTAACCCTGGAGCTCCAGGCTTAAAAGACGCTTCGATTCAAGACCCTGAACCTTCTATGACATAGTTCTAGGACGTATTGTTGATCCAACAAGGGACAAGGCAAAGAAGGTCGATCGTGAGCTCCCAAAGAGCTCTCGTGACTTCATTATAACGCTGCTTTTGCACATCTTGCTGCCCGTGACTGATTGCGAGCCTCTGCATCATGCTGATCTCGCTGTCCTTCTGCCTAGGGCGGCAAATGCCAAGGCTTAGAAACGGGGCGCAAGAGGCGAAGAGCAAGAGGTGACCAGGTGCGAAGGGTTCATTTGCGGAGTGACTGGGTCCACGATTGGCTCCCGATGCCCACGAAGCAAAACAATCTTCCGCATCCTCAACCCACCCTGAACCCGAAAGTCGTCCAACTCTACAGCTTCAGGCAGTCCCCCCCCCGGTCATCCCAAGCTGCTCAGGCTTGAGCCTTGACGCGCTATTCAATTTTTATGCTGGGCTACGCCGGACTTCTGAGAATACAAGCCTTGGCAGCACGTAGATTCCGTAGATGTATGCACGGCCTTCACATCTTCGACCCCTATTTACCCCAGCCCAGTGAACCCTGAAAGTCCTAGGCCCTTGGCTTTTGTTAAGCTTGAACTTGAACCCTCAAGGCCCCAGCAACTTGCACTCTAAACTCCCAAAGATCAATCGATTCCCGCAGCCTCTGCGAGGCGCTTTGCAGAGACTTCGAAGCACTGATTGCTCTTCTCCTTGGCTAAGCTACCTATCCGTGTAGCGTGGAGCTCTCAGGGCCCTCTCGGGGGAAATGGGCTGCTGTGCAGGTTTCAGCGTTGCGCTCTTCTCTTGCGCAGTCACAGGACCCCGGCTCATCTGACTGCTTGAGCGAGAAACCTTTGAGAACCCGAAACCTGTATCACAATAGTATTGCAATTACAAGATTTACACCACTCTCCAGTTGTGAGGCAACTTCGAATTTGAAGTCCATCGGATTCTGGAGTCGTGCGGGGCTTAGAACATTTCACATGAAGCTTGGGAACGTCAGCGTGCCCCAGAATGCACTAAAACGTCGCTTACTGCCAAGTTGCTTGCCTCTTACATGGGGACGTTCCCCCTTATACCAACAGTCCTTAATCGGGATTATAATAAGGGGTACTATAATTCCTATTGAGGACTGTTAGTAGATGGGGGAACCTCCTAACTCTTACCCTTAAGCGGCATCGAAAAGCTACATCAAACAGCAAACTCACCAAAGAAGCCCAACAAGAAGCCACAAAGGAAGGCCAGGCTTCGGCCTCTTTTTCCACCAAGCCTTCTTGTCTTTTGGCCTGCGCCAGCATCGCCTCCAGCATTGCCGGCATGTGGAATTGTATGGGTACCGGTGGATGCAGCTGGAGGCTGGAGGAACCAAAGATGTGGGCAGATGTGGGCATGACCGGGTGTGCCAGTGTACCTGAAGCTAGAAGTTTGGCGAGGTCTTCAAAACCGACCCGGGAAGAAACAAAAGACAACACGACACGGCTACACGTAGACATGCCTGCACCAAACCCTAAGCCACCAGAGCCACAAACAGAGTGCCTGCGCCCTCTTGAGGCGCTCGGATGCAGAAGATCGGGCCGAGGTGGCACTTTTGATCTCGGCCTCGCAGTCTGACGGAATCTAGGTTTAGGGGTTGAGGCATCTTGTGTCCTTACGTCTTACTCAGGCTGTTCCGGGCATGTTGGGAGCCTCCGGACTTGAGCCTGCGGGGAGGCTTACGGAAGGGAAGCCCCTCAAGTCTCTGCTCTTTTGGAGGCCATGGGACAGTGTGTTGGACCCCCCTGCCACCTGCTTGTGCGACCTAGAAGGTTCCCAGGTAGCCTACAAACAACAAGGTTTTGGGTGTTTGAACGAGTTAGAATCCCGTGTGAAAGAGCAAATGAATGATACGGCCGTGCATTTACTGTATTATTAGGCCGTAAACACTATTATTACTCTCTCCCTTTCCTATAGACCCGGCCCACATTGAGGCTTCCTTCACGCCCTGTAAATCTTAACATGTGATCTGTAAGAAAGCCGCATTATTAATATCTTTCCCCACAGTTATAGTATTACAAGCCTGTTCACGGGTGCTTCGCTTACAAGATTAAAGAGGTGCGTGAATACACTTCTTTTAACCAGTGCGTCTTGGAGATGATAAATGTTATGATCAAAGGTTTGGATTGCAAATGAAATTACTGTGTCAGCGGGCTTTTCCTTATCCTCGCGGAATCATAAGTAAGTCTTTTGTTTGTTGAAGGGCGATGATGCACGATGATACCAGGTGCACAGGAAGGTGAAGAGTCCCGTCAGGAGTGTCCACAGACATGTTCAGGGCGACTTTTGAATGAGTTCGAAGGGCCTATGCTTCTGAAACAAAGCCAACTCTGAGCCTTCGGTTGTTGAAGCCTTCGGGAGAGGAGGCCCTACAAGGAGGGGCCCCCTTGCTATACTAACTGCAGTTCAGGGACTTATTTAACATAATTTCGGATCCTTATAACCCAACTTAGGGTCCTTAGAAGTCTACTTCCATCTAGGGGGGGCCCCTCCCTGTAGGTTCGCGTGAAGTGACCGAGCCAAGGAGCCGCTGCTTTTTCCAGCTGCTGCTGCGCCGTTGACAGGGAGCCTTCCTTCAGAAGAGAGGGCAAACTTGGGATGTTCCCCCTTCTACTAACAGTATACTAACAGTCCTTAGTGATTATAGTAGGGGTAGTAGGGGGTACTATGATCCCTACTAAGGACTGTTAGTATAAGGCGGAACATCTCAAGGTCGAACTGTCAATCGGGCAAAGTCAAGCTGGCCGGGATGGCTTCCTATTTTTCGGTTGGAGCCCGATTATGCCCGATTCCGAAGCACGTGACTGGCCTGGGTGTTCACAAACAGAAGAAGTCGGCCATTGGTTAGCAAGGTGAGCTAAAAAGGCACTGAAAGAGTTGGCTTTTGGTTCAGGATCTCGGGTTAATTCATTGAGTCTCTTCCAACTGGGGCAAGCCAGGCGGCCCAACTCAGTCAAAACACTCAGCGGCTTTACCCATCCACGTCCAGGCAGTATAGTCACCCGAAGATAGCAGAGAGCGTATGGAGCTGACTTGTACGACATTGCTAACATTGCAAGGCCAAAAACTAGAGGAGTAGCAAAGACGAATGACCAAGGACTTATCATGGTCCCACGGGCACGCAGCTTCTTATCCCCCCTCGGAAATGCCCAGTCCTCAGGTCATGTTTTCAAGCGCTGGTGCTGGTGAAAGGGCAATGGCTGAAGTTTTTCCATGCAGGTGCCAGATAGCATCATGCCCCGGCTCATGGTTTCACTGGTTTCACGTCATTTCGTCCAGTCTTGACCGTTCCAAGCTAGCGGAGCGGAGTGCCGAAAGACTTCTGAAATTGTCTCGCTGGCGATGTGCTGTGGCGTGTGTGCAGTAGGAATACGCGGGCCATGCGTGATGCGTGCAAAGGCAGCCAAAACCTTCTGTCACGCTGCACGGCACAGTTTCAACAAAAGTCTGCTGCTGGTCTAGAGCTGGCAGTTCAATGGTGCAGGAAGCTGGTGAAAAAGAAACAGAAAAAAAGAAGAAAACTCCAAGGAAACTGCTGCCCTGCCTTGGCCAACCGCGCCGCAGCCGCTTTCCCAGCTGCATCCTCCGCGATCTTGAGCTTGGCCTTCATGAGCCTGTTGGTCTTGCCAGCATGGGCTACTGGGCCTGAGAATCCCCCTAAACAACCCTGCAAAGGGCCTGTTTAAGGGGTTATAGGGTATATCCTCGCCCATGCAGGTAGGGCCTTTAGGGTTCTTTGTGCAGTTGCAACACCCCTCCCTCAAATTTCTGCCACCCCCCCCCCCCCCCCATACATCCAGCGTCAGGGTCTCCTCACTTCGGGCGCTGCACCAGCAAGCTCGTCGTCCTTTCGGGCTACTCCGACATTGGACGTGTTCGGGAGAGGCTCTGAAGTTTCAAGTTTCAAGTTGAAGCAATCATGAAGAGGTCGGGTCTAGCGGTTCCTGTCACCGCGACAGATCCGAGGACAAGAAGCGGATTCTGAGTGTGTCGCTGCAGGTCCTGCTCGCCTTGGAGGGTGCTGTAAAGGAAGGAAAAGCTGCTGAGCCCCACCTTGCAAGGAGTTGCGCGGCAGTGGATCTGGAACTGTAACTTCGCCAGAGTCCCATTGTTGCGACGGCCTCGCATCATAAGTCATGCAGCCAAAGCACGGCCGGACCCGCTTTCAGCCACTCTTCGGGAGCATCGCACTGTGCCGTGCAATCCTGAGCCCCAGCATTTTTTAGGACATGTGCGGAAGGGAGCCGCAGCCTACACATTGAATGCGGAAGGCATGATCTACGGGCCCAATGTAGGCCATATCCTTTCACCCTTTGGTCGCTGAACTCGAAGTGCCAAAGCGGCCCCAGCAGCTACTGTGCATCTTCTCATGTCGGAAGGTATCCCAGGAACTGCACGAAGCATATGAGGGTCAACCCCGATTCGTAACAACCACGCGGCCGCGGATCTTCTATGCCGTGCTGATGCCGTAGCAGTGCACGTGTCTCGCCATGCACAGGATCTGTCCACTCGAAGAGGCCATGGATCTCCTCGGCGGTGAAATACCTTCAGCACAAAAAGCTGTCAAACAAGGCGACGTCCCACATCTTCGCTAAGTCCCCTTACAACACAGAGACCCAGTGGAAACTTTGAAGGAAGCCCTGCTCAATTTGCAGAAATAGGGGTACCCTATTGGGGTCTGTAATATCAGGGAATTCTCCGATTCTGCTAAGTTACTATTTGGGGGACTATATTAGGGGTCCCCTATTGGCGCAGTGGGCTGCACCGGGAGAGATTCCACAGCCTGAAACTTCGAGATCCGCCATGGTGCCGCTGCTGCTGCTTTGTCTCCAGAGCTGTTTTGGTCCTCAACGATCAGACTTCGAGCGTGCTGCAGTGCATACTGGCAAGCCTTCAGCCTCAAACCTCTAAAGCATTCAAAAACTATACAGACAGGGCACAGACCCATCTTGAAGACCTGGAGCCGGAACATCTTGTCCTCGATGAGGCCACTCCTTGTGCGATGTGTGGATCGTCTGACTCGTCTTTTTCGAGAGCTTGTTGATGCTTGGGTGTCGGGACTTTTTTGGTGTCGTTTTGGGCAATGTAGGGTTACTACTGCGGAGTCTCGGTACAAAGCGTCATGAGTTGGGCTACGCAGATCTTGCGCATGTCCACGTTTTCGGCTGCATCACGCTGGGGACTCGATCGTTGGTGGAGTTGATCTCAAGTGGAGCCTTGTCCTTCCAAGTTGCCTTCATGGGGGCTGGGAGCTATAAGCTATCGCCCATCTTGCGAACCAGAGTGAGTATCCGAGTATCGCGCAGCACGGGTTAAAAGCTTCGGCTCTGCTGCACACTTCGTGACCTGCATGGCACCATTGAAGTTGAAGCTCTTCCAGGCGGGGTTGATCTAACCTTTTCCCCCCTTAGCACTTAAAGGCACATCTCAATCTACATACGATAGACACCGTGCCTGTACGCAGTAGATCATCCTCCATTTTGTCGAGGCTTCTCAGCCAATGGTTAGGGGTATTGGCGGTCAAGTCTCATTACCAGTCTGTACGTCTTCACCTCCCGGTCCTGTCCTCGCAGCGCGTGATGCCGCATGCACAGGGTGGGAAGGTATTCGGCATAAGCTCGGGTTGGCAGTTTACAATCTCACTTTTGGGCATCAAAAACTTCAAGCCCCTCAAGCCCCCGTGTGCATCTCAACAACTGCTTCTCAGCCTTGACGCCTTTTGAGGCGAAGAGCGCACGTCCTGAAGCCTTATGAGAATAGTGCCCCTCTGAAAGTCGGCGTCCTATGCGGTGTGCTCGATCGACAGCTTGCATGTCGACGGCGGGGTTCCTGGCTACCAGAAGCCGAAGTTGGGTGGACTTTGTGCATCACAACGCCTGCCGGAGTCCATATTGAGGCACTCCCTGCCTTATCGCATCAAGAAAGAGATGCACAAATTCTTTCAGTCCAATGCGAAGGCGTACACGTTGCCCATCCTCCCGAATATAGTCCATTAGGCCCTGTATAGGCACGAAGATCGAGATTCCCAGACCTCTTTACCCCTCCACTATTTTCCACAAACAGCCATGTGCTGGCCGACTTCTTCCTTTGGGTTACAAGGGGATTCTATTACCCCAAAAAGGTTAAAAGGTTACCTACTCTACTACTAAGACTTTGCATGCCCAAGCTCCAAGCAGGGTCGAGGATGATCACTCGATCCGCCGATGTCAAGTTCAAGCCATAGCCGCCCACTTTCGTTGTCCTTGGACTGGCATCCTACTAACCCTAATCCCTACAAACCCTCTCTCTCTCTCTCTCTCGCAGACTCGGGAATCCGTCAGCTGCCGTCTGCATCCCTACAAACCCTGAACCCTGTAAACCCTAAACCCTCAAGGGTTTCGGGTTTATGGATCTGCACACATGTGTGAAGGTGGCGACTAGGCGTTCGACTCTCGGACGCTGGTGTCTTTTAGCTCCTTGAAGGTCCTGATAGCAATAGCGAAGAACCTCAGAGTAATTGTGTCAATAGAAGCCGCTTCCCGTCTGCAAGAAGGATGGACCGTAGATGTATCTATAGGTCAGCCATCATGCTCGAAGAACGCGCGTTGATGCCACTGCCACCATCAGCTGCAAAACTACTAAGTGCTGCTGCTCTATAGAGACAAGCTGTCATGCCCTCGTGGCAGGTGTGGGCGTGTCGCGTGCAATCCAGTGTCCCATGAGCTCGGCCCCCTGCCCCTTTTCCGGCCCCATTCCCCCGCCTGCAGCAGGGATCTGTGGATAATTCTATATTGGGGTGGGAAGTCATGATAAAGCGCTTCAAGATTGCGACGACCACTGTGACTGCCGCGAAGACGAATGCTCCATGCAACTAGGTGCGCGGCGCACATCTCGCCGTGCGTTTTCGTGCAGAGATTGAAAATTAAGATGGCTGGAATTTGCAAAAAATGGTGCTATTTACAAGGTACTCGGCGTCCTGAGAGGTGGGAGCGCGTTATAAACGGCACTCTAAGGGGGAAACACGTATTTTAGTGTTTTCGCCTAGGGAATTCACTCCCTTTAAGGAGTTCTGAAATGCCTAAAACTACTTTCCGTTTTCAAGGATTTTAGGGCTTTCAGGGGTTTAGAGTTTAGGGGCTTAGGGATGTTTTAAGGTGTAGGGCTTTATAGGAAAAGTTGCTTGAGGATTCTGGGGCAGTAGGATTTCCGGAATCAGGTTTTGGGAAAACCTCAACGCAGAACCTCAAACCCAGAGACCTCGACCCTAAGCCCCACATCCTCAATCCTCAGTCCTAGCCCTAAACCCTGGGACAAAGCAGAGCCGTAAGTACCCTTAAACCCCCTAAGCCCTATACACCCTAAACCCTAAACCCTAACCCCCCCCAAGCCCATAGGGCGGATTTAGCAAGTCGGAGGGCTACGGTTTAAGTCTTAGCATCTGCAGAGTTGCCAGAGGCCTAAACCCCGAAGCCCAACATCAAGGCTAAACTCCAAGCCCCAAACCCTGCAAACTGGAGCACTAAATGACTGAGGACATGCTGGCAAGTTGCAATAGGGGGGGCGGATTATCCCCCCCCCCCCCCCACCCCCCCCCAGCCACCCCACCCAAGAAACCGAAGGAAACCACGCGGCGAGATACGCGCCGCGCTCCAACTACTCCTGCTGCTGAAGGCTACAGAGTAGGCTGAGTAAACGCTTTCTGCAGACGTAGTCTCAGCAGCATGCAGGTGTAGGACTGCGGCTGCGTTTGAAAGAGACGTACTCGCTCGTTCCGAGCCTTGCAGGGTCAGGGCTCGTCCGAAGTTGATCGCTTCAAACACCGCGGAAAACGAGGGGGGTTTAGGGTTTAAAAGTCTAGGGGGTTAGGAGTTCAGGGCTTAGGGGTTTAGGGTTTGAGGGTTTAGGGCTTCCGTATGGTTCAAACTGACTTCATTCGACTCCGCTGTTCCGGTACAGGCGGAACAGCACAGAAACAAATCAAGCGCTTGGCTGGTCTTGCAGCAGCTCTAAAGCCAGGCCAGCGCATGAGCTTTTGGAACCCCAACCGTGGTTCCTCCACTGCTTCGCTTCCCAAGCGACGCCGTAGGGCGAAAGCTTCAAGGAGCTAAGGCCCCCGCCCTGCTTGCTACATGTTAGCTTCGCAACCGGGCCAGAGAATCGGTGCCAGCTAGACCCTCGCCCCCAGCCCAAAATCAGCCACAACCCTGTGTTTAGGGTTTAGGGCTCTTCCCCGGCCGCGATCTCCGTCTGGCCGTCGATGCGAAGGTACTTGATCTTCTGTTTCCGGAGGATGCAGATCTCTACCTCAGTCCAGGCACGAGGAAGGGATGGAGCTAAGCTCTACTGTCTTGTGGTCCCCACACACTCAGCAAAAAAATTGAGCGGACAAACCATCCCCAGAGAGCTCACTACCGCCTTAATTAAGGAATATACCTTAAAATTATACTCTGGATCCTTAGTAGGATTTAAGGGTATATTCCTTAATTGAGGGATATTAAGGGCTCTTTGGGTCTCATGTACATGCCCGGCCGCAAGGTCCATCATGCGTATACCTTGCGAGAAGATCAGTGTCCGATGCCCACCAGACTCCAGCGTAGGCAGCCTCAGTTTCGTGAATACTTCCACCTAGGGTGTCTTGATGTGGGCCTCGAAATACACGGAGCCTCTTGTTTTCTTGACATCCATTCGAACCTTGCGGGGGGGGGGGGGGGGGGGGGGGGGGGGTTCATAAATCCGGCAAACCATGGTCCTAATAGGCCTGGCCGAGGTTGCCGATCCCCTCCAAAAAAAACCCTCCAGATTTGCCCAAACCCTGCAAACAGTGCCAAAACGATTCCGAACCCAAGAAAACCCTCCCAAGCCAAGGAGGTCCCAACGGCAAAAAAAGTAACCAAACAAGGGGCTCAGACTTCCTCAGATCTGAGACACGAGCCCCTCATTTTCTAAAACTAAAAGCTTGAGCCTCTAATTTTGTCAAACCCAATCGCCTCTGAACAGATCTATCTTATCCAGTAACGTCACTGTAGAAATAGATGTGTGAAACTATATATGCATATGTATATGTCTGTGTATGTAATGTATATGTGTGTATACGTTTATGTATGCATGTATGTATGTATATGATAGTTGGCCAAAAGACATGCTGCCAAAAGAACCCACTTCCCCCTTAAACCATAGGAACCCTAAGTAGTTTCCGGAGAAGGACCTTTACATCAGCCCCCCCCCCCCCCCCCCATACGGCATACAAGGATGAGTAAACCCTAAACCCTAAACCCTACATAAACCCTAAACCCTAAACCGTAAACTCTAAACCCTAAACCCCCGTATTACATCCCGGGAGCAAAGCTGCCAAGCACTTGAGTTTCGCACTCTGCGAGATCATCGCATCAACGCTTCCCTTGAGGTTCCTGCTCAGTGCCAGGCAGCCAGGATGGGCCATTACTAAGGTCTAACAGAAGCCATTATACCCTATAACCCCCTCAAGAAGGACCTTTATAGGCTTGATTGTGGGGATCATAAGGCTTAATAGCCCATCCTGGAAGGCACCCGTTTTCAGGTTCTGTCCATGGCTAGACGTTGCCGTAAATTTGTGGCAGTCGGTGGGGACCTCTCACAAGCATTGGAGAAAATAGCTGATCATTCGTGAGCAGAACATAAGTTGGGGCAGATGTGTCCATGCTGTGCAGCATGATGATGACGACTATGGCTACGGCTATGATTGTGCAGTCTGTCAGGCTACGACTGCTGTTCCGAAGAGGCCGCGTCAAAAGTGCATCCCACCCAATTTGCACCAACTTCGTGCTGCACTCCCTCTGGCGCTGCCCTCTCGACGAACCCGACGTGTAGGGTTGAGAGGGTTAACCCTAAACCCTAAACCCTAAACCCTAAACCCTATAAACCCTGAACCCTAAGCCCTGAAATGGCCCCGCACCAAGTTCCAGACCGGGAAGGCCTCAACATGCGCTCAACAGCTTTTCCAGGCTGCGGGTCCTCAAGAGCCAAGATATTGGGGGGCAATAAGAACTGAAATTTCTATGGGTTGTTAGGGCATGAGACGGATTAAAACCCATACTGTAGAAGTATAGATGCATTCGAAATCCCCACCCCTCAGTGGCAAGCTTGGTAGCATGTACTTGGAAGGCCTCTGTGAATCAGTGAGATACACGACTCAGAGCAGATCCAAGGGGCGCGAACGAGAGGTCGTCGGTTCATTAAAAAAACTGCATGAAGGCTCCATTCAAACAACAAGGGGGTTTGGGTTTAAACCAAACACCACAAACTCCCGAAATCCCTTTCGGTGCACCTCTTGGATGGCCCTCAAACAAACACTCTGAAAAATATTCCTGAATATGATCCGTTTAAACCATATAACCTAGCTAGACATATGAAATATCCCAAAGGACCCAAAAGCGCCGAACCCATCGGGAGGCCTGGGCAACGTCGCCCTCCTCTTCGCCGGGCTCCAGGGGTAGCGGCTCTGGCTCCGCGGGGCCCTTCCGATTTGTCTGGTAGGGTTTCATGTCTATGGGGTCTTTGTAAGGTGTTAGGGTTTGGGGAATCGCCTCGGAATAATGTGTACAGGGTTTAGGGTCGAGGGGTTGAAGGCGTATGGATGTTTAAGTGTAGGGCTGCAGGGCTTCGGCCAATTTTGAGGGTTGTTCTTGCCGCCTACAGCCTCAAACCGGTTTAGGGATTACAGGAGGTACAAGTAGACTTTGGGCAGAGGTCCTTCGCTGAGTGGGGCAGTGAGTGTTTTCAGGGCTTGAGATTTACGTTTTCAGGCCCTTCTTGCCCAGAACAGACTACAGGCTTACTTGCTGAACTGGCCGCTTAGAGGAGGCTTTCGGAATGCGGTTGATTTTTTGGGCGGAGAGGAAGATAAAGGCGATAGGGGAGCAACATGGCGTTACATTTTGCCATTCGCGCTTGGAGGTTCTGGGTTGATCGGGTTTTGCAGTCTGAAAGTTTAGGGTTGAGAGTGCCGAGAAGGCGCTGCTTAACAGAGAGCTGACAGGTATCAGGAGTCGAACAAGGCTTCTGCTGCAGTTTGTCAAGAAATATGGATATTGCACTCCATTCCGCCTTTGCCCTTCACGCCTGTTCGCGCACGCTCCTAACTTAAGCACCCTTTTGTGAGCACGGACTGAGGAAGCCAGCATAAAAACCTTAAACCTTAAACCCTAAACCCTAAATCCTAAACCCTAAACCCTAAGCCCTAAGCCCTAAACCCAGGCAAACCCTGAAAGCCGGGCTTGCCTTGACTCGCTTCCCTGGCCGTGCCTTTGGCAGGATACATTGGCATGCTCCCCATCGGGATTCATGATAAGGGGGTACTCTAATCCCTATTAACGACTGTTAGTACCCTAAACCCTAAACCCTAAACCCCTTAAACCCTATGTTAGTATGAGGGGGAACATCCCAAAGGATACATCTCAAGACTGCAACACGTGGCTCTTGTCATGCGTGGCCACAGCCAAGTCGCCATGCGCGCCAGGTCTGCAGGCTCCAGGAGGCCCTGGAGCAGCTTGGGTTGAGGGGTTAGGGTTTAGGGTTTAGGGTTTAGGGTTTAGGGTTTAGGGTTTAGGGTTTAGGGTTTAGGGTTTAGGGTTTAGGGTTTAGGGATGGGAGTTTTAAGGCAGCTACTGGGAGGCTTTGGACATTGGAGTCCGTCGGAGCTTCTCAAGCTACCAGGGGATGGAGCAGGATCGCGGATTAGTTAACAATGTCCATTGTAGCAGTCCCTAAACCACATAATTGCCGAACAAAAACCCACCCCCCAAAACCCTAAACCCCAAACCCTAAACCCCAAACCTTCGCCCCGAAATGCGAGTTGCTTACTAGCTTGCGGCCTCCCCTGCTGTTGCGAGCGCTCGCTGCCAGGCATCGGGCGACGGCAGCGCCAAGGCGGGGTGGTTGCAAAGCCGCTTCCTGACCGATGCCAAGAGGGCGGAGTCTCCCTGTTTGATAAACCCTATAAACCCTATAAACTCTAAAAACCCTAAAATCCTGTAAACCCAAGAGGAACCCTGCAAACCCCATAAACCCTATGAACCCTATAAACCCTAAAGGCCCTAGCCCCTAAGAGCTCAAGAGGGTTCAGATTAAGAAGGCACTTGGAGGTTCATGTGTAGTTTTCAGTGGGGTTATTCATACGTTATTCGTATAGTTATCAGACCCCGCAGCTGTGCAAGCACAAAAGTGTGTTTTGGGTCTGGCGATGGGAGCTGCTGAGGGTGGAGCTGTCACTCCAACATGCTGTTGGTCGCGCCAAGGAAACAAAAACATCCACCTTTGATGTTGGCGTGTTTTTTCCTAGACCACAGTGACTACTCCGAACCGCCTGGCTCCAAATCCACCGATATCCACTTTCCGCGGCTCAATATTTCTAAGCACCTAAGGCTGCCGGGAATCAGCAGCCCAATGGCGCGGAAGACTTCAACTCCCAGCTTGCTCTTGCCTGACAGCGCAAGGATTGTTCCCCTCTCGCAGCTGGACAACCCAAGGCGTCGAACCAAGACGACTCCATGCTATCTACAGTACTACAGCATGTGCCGATGATAAAGGCAGCATGTTGATCATGTTCTGTGTCGACTCTTTGTCCCATGCCGATAATTGCAACCAGGGTGCTGTTTGCTTCGTGGATGATTTCACTTGTTTCCAAGGCCTTCTGATAGATCCGGACTTGGTCTTTCGAGGGCACCAGCCACACAACAAACCTGAGCCAATCGAGCCCGACAGATTGTGCACAGACCGCTGGCAGCCTGTTGCAAACAAAGCAAGGTCTCTGCATGAGGCTCCCTAAACCCTAAGCCCTAAACCCTAAACCCATTCCAGAAATTTCGAGTGGCTCTGTCCGAGGCGGCAAAGGCTTTGTCAGCGCTGATGCGATGGCTTCGGTGCTACCTCCTGCTTCCGGTTGTCCTGAGGAGCGGTGCTGCGCAGAGCCAAAGCTACCTTACTAAGAACCAGTGCTGTGCAAGCTTCCACAAACGACCCATCGATGCAGTGTGTCCTACTTGAATATAACTAGATAGCACCGGGGGTTAGCATGAAGAAAAGCCCCTTGCCCCATGTCTTCCCCGCAGACTTGCATCAGGGCTGCTGTAGCCCATCATGCCGACGCGATCTTTGGTGCGACGCAAAAGATGCGGCCTGTTCCACGAACGTGAGGCGGCGCACAGGCTGGCTTCCGCAGTTCACTCACATAATGACAGCATCCCCAAGTCACTATGGAACCGCTCGCCAAATCTAGCTGCTAGACTCACTGTTGCGACACCCTCAACCATTTCGCAAGATTGTCAAGGCTGCCCTCCCTTTTAATGTTTTTGACAAAGAGAAAGCGACAGAGAGAGAGAGAGAGAGAGAGCGAGAGAGAGAGAGCGAGAGAGAGCGAGAGAGAGAGAGAGAGCGAGCGAGAGCACACACTGACAATAAGACAATTATTGATGCTTTGGAATCCCCGTGTCGAACGACCATACCACTCAAAGGCTCAGCCGAGGCTTCAGGGCCGCAGAACTTCAACCCAACCCTTCACCACTCAGGTCTCAACTGCTGCCTCTTGGGCTGTCCAGGCAGTTTTCTTTTTTTTTGTGTTGGTGGGGAGGGGGGGGGGAGGGAGGGAGGAGGGAAACATATTCAACTTATTAAATTAGGGCCTTTGGGAATCCAACATCATTGGGCTGAGGAGCAAGGGATTGCAACACGTTTATTTGCTTATGATTTGCCCAAAACCAGGCAGCCTAAAGAGCTTTGTTGCATCTTCTCTCAGCCTTAGCATCCAGGATTACTAGTTTTAACGCTAACGCCCCAAAAGCAAACATTCATCAGCCCTTGAAGACAAGCACCTCACGAGCGCCCAGAGCTGCTCGCACAAGTGCTTCCTTGGACAAAAGGTCGAGTGCTCGCAGCTTCAGTAGGGACCAGTTCGGTTTCGACACTGCATTACTCACATCGTGTGTGCCACCCACGCCACAGTACTGCAGCAGTCAAGTCGAAGCTAGCAGTTGCAGGACTGTTCGAAGTTGCTTTTTCCATACCCTGCCGTGCCTATAGGACTTACAGTACTTGAGCACCACTCAATCTGGGAGTCTCTGTTGTGTGCCTGGATTTGCCCTTTGCTGAGCGCACGAAGAAACGATCTCCCTGCCGAACGATCACACAAAACTTGGTACAACGACTGGCCCCCGTGATGCCCCGTAATAAATCAATATAGGGGCCCGCGTACTTAGAATAGCGTTCTGGGGGTTATTCTGGTACAATTACGAAGGGGCCATTAAGGGAATATCATTGCCTATTTTTGACAACTAGCCAAGGCAAGCGTCTTGAGCGCGACCGCCGAAGGCGATGCATCTCGGACGCTGCCTTTCCTCACGGTTCACGGAATCGCGACGGATATTCTGTCTCCGGATGCTACTAAACAATGAGGTTGCTTTAACAACTAGCCTGTAGAAAGAACAAGTCTGCTACAGTCCGTGCAGCACAAAGATGGTCGTGCGATGTAATGTAATGTTAAAAACCTGCGATGCTTTGCAGCCCGCTGCAGGTTTAGCCGGTTTAGGGCTTAGATTTGGGCATTCCCAGATTCGGCCTTATCCAGGGCATTATCAGGAGCTAGGCTCCCAAAGCTGGACTCCTTGACGTCTCGCCTTTGGCTGCATTCTACCCCACTCAGACTTGGAGCTCCACTCCTCCACCCCAGTCCGGCCAATGACCCACTTGGGTTTAGGGTTTAGGGTTTAGGGTTTAGGGTTTAGGGTTAGGGGGGGTGCAGGGGGGTGAGGGTTTGGAACGAAGCCTGGGGAGGGAGCCCACAGTAAGCTGGCTCGGGGCATAAGGCTCGCTAAGACTTCGGCTTTTCTATCCGAAAACGGAAGGGAAAACACCAAGCCTCGGGCCGCAAGCCCTAAAGCTATAAGCCTGCTTTGGCCTCTATTTTTACCTTCTTATTCGCGCCAGGGGGATCTCAACTAAGCTTGCCAACCGATTCCTTGCCGGAGGAAACAAGAGCTGCAACTTCAACTCGACAAACGAATCATGTGGGGTGCCCGCGGACCCCCTTGGCCCACAGCCTCCCCACCAAATTCCACAAAATACACAACTTCGTGGCCCCACTACGGTTCTCTCGTGGTAAGTCCCAGCAGCTCAATGGGGTCGTTGAAGCGCTTGGTGAAGGTCGCATGGTTTCCCAACAATCCAGGCTGGGCAAAGTCCATCAAGGCCCAGAGGTCTTGCAAAGCGTTCTGGACCTCGGTCAGAATCTAAGGGTTCATGTACCAAAAAAGGAAGACTTCAAACAATATCGACCAGAGCACACTAGATTGGGCCACAAGAGCCCTGAATGCATGTTCCACAAGACTCAAGCTTCAGCCAACCCGACATTCGATCGAATCCCAGGGGCTGGTGTGCCGGTCAGGAGGATGCGGCAGTCGGCCTTTAGACGTCTCACTGCCTTGCCCAGGAGTGTGGAGATCGTCCGCATGACGTGTGCCTCGTCGCAGATCACCTCTGCTGACACGGAAGTGGAAGGCTACTGGAATCACTTGCCTAGGCAGGTTCGTCCGATCGGTACCTGAAACCTCACCTTTCCATGAACTAAGCCACCCCTTGCTTGGTAGCTCAGTGACCATCTTAGAATAAGGGCACCCGTTTTGGGGTTGGTCATTCTTTTTTAAAGGGAGCCCAGAACCAACAAAAGGGTAAAGGGTGCCACTAAACCCTAAACCCTAAACCCTGAACCCTGAACCCTAAACCTTAAACCCTAAACCCTAAACCCTATTGGGTGCGGGGCGAGTGGCAAGATCCCAGGGTTTCGTCCATGCTGCAGCGCCCACGCCTCGGGCGCGTTTCCTTGACAAGACGAAGGAGAGCAAGAAGGCGGGGCAAGAAAGCATGCCCTAAACCCTAAACCCTAAAGCCTAAACCCTAAACCCTAAACCCTAAACCGCATGTTTTGTGAGAGAGAGGGCTCTTGCAGAGACCCGAGGCCCAGTCTCAGATAGAATGATGTTTGGGAGCCGTGGGCAAAGTGGGCAAAGTGATAAGCTACGTGCCACGACACGTCCTTAGCTTGCCTCGGAGCTCAAAAACCAACACTTTCTTAAATCCAGAATTCAAGAACCTGGCTAAGTGGAGGAACAAGGGTTTTGCCAGTCTTGCGCGCTTGGTAGCCTTGGGCGACCTCTTGAGGCCAAGCGGCCCCGCTGGCCGTCGTTCAGACTTGCTGAGCCAGGTGCCTTCGGCATCCTTCCGGGCAAGCTCACCGGGCAAACATGGGCCGCGAGAATCGAGCACCCCAGTCCCCGAATTCAGTGCAGCTTGGGCTTGTCGTAGCAAGGAGGTCATCAGAGTTCAGCTGGGTTGTCTGAAGGCCGGTTTCAGTTTGACAGCTTTAAGCGGCTTTGCAAATCTGAAGCCCCTAACATCTTCATGTGCAAGTATGGACACGCTTTAGGTGTGCGCACACCTGGGCTGTGCGGCTGTGGGTGTTTCGAGACGCCTTTAGGTTTCGGATGCTGTCGGGAGGGTCGGCCAGACGATGCCTCCGATCCAACCATCTCCGACTCCCCCCCCCCCCCCTCCTGCAAGCTGACTGCTCTAACATCCTGGACACTGCGCCATGCCATGTACTGTAAGTGCAAACCAGAGCTGCCAGTTGCTGGCTTGTCCAAACTTCATCTTGCTCCGCCCAACATCCAAGCCAAACCCTACAACCCCTCTAACCCTGCCATTTTCTGTGCTGCCTCGAATGACCCAGCCTTGCAAACCTTTCTCCTACCCCTCCGCTCCCCCACACACCACCCCACCCCACCCCACCCCACCCCCCCCCCAAACCCCCCCAAAAAAAAAAAAAACAATTGGCCTCTGCCAGGTCGACCATGCCCAGTTTCTCATCTTCGTTCCTCCAACGCCAACTTCGGCAACTTCGAAGCCGCCAAACCAAAACACAATGCAGCACACCTTCCACGCAAAACGCACTCAATTGCCCGCAAGCGGCTTAATGATGGCATACGATGTGAGCAGTACTCCCCCTCGTGCTCGCGCCACTGCACGGAGGGCCCGCGCCCGATGCGTAGGCGACCCGTGGTAGATGAACACCTCTAGTCCAAGGGCTTACAGGGCTCGCCGAATGGAATGCTGCAGTCGAAGCTTTTTTGTGTTTTTCTTGCTGTTTTTCTTTTATGGGGCCTGGGGGTTAAACCTGTTTATATGTTCCTCTCTTTCTTTCTTTCTTTCTTGGGGGCAAGGGGGCAAGCCCCCGGGCGTTCGCGCCCGCCCCTGTATTCAGGGCGCCTCCTGGTTAGCTCGTGTAGGCGAAGGCCCCCAGCATACAGCTTCCCCCCCCCCTTCTTACGTTACTGAAGACAGCCCCCTGACGTATCCCTCTAGTTGCCTTCTCCGTCAACGAGCACGCTTATTCGGTTGTCCTTTCCTGGCTCTCGGGAACCCCCACAAGCACCAATACTGCACTACACCCCCTAGTTAACCACACCCCCAGGAAAGGACCCCCAGCTGGCTATGTGAAAAGCACAGGTTGCCATGTGGGCTTGGCTCCGTTTCCCCGCTAGGCTATTTACCGGGCCCCCCCCCAAAATCAGGTGACCTACGAGCCCCCACATACCTGCTAGTGAGACCAGTGCGCCCACGTTGAGGGTGCTTCGGGGTACCTCACACAGGCTGAACCTTGCCCCAGCCCCCCAAACGAACCTGCTGCAACCTGCCAACAAGTCCTCCCCTTCCCCCTCCTGGGCCTCCCTCAACTTACAGCTGGGCTTGGCTATTCGAGTCTTCAGGTGCATGCGGGTCTCTCTCTAGCTGTTACCTAAACCCCCTAGGTTCAGGACCCGGCCCCTCATTCGAGCCCCGCATGCGCCCTCCTACGCCGGTGCTCTTCACCCCCGATCAGGTGAGGTCGTGGGCTTGTGGATCTTCTCCAACGTTCCAGGTGAGTGCATGCAGTGCTGAAAAGACGGGTTTTCCCCCGCCTCGGGGGTGAAACTTGCCATGTCGCTGTGCTCGGCATCGCTGTGCCCGGCATCACTGAAGGGCCCCGCGGAGCCCCGCCCATTGCTGGTTCACATTGTCAGCAGCGATTTTGAGCTCCTTGGCCAGCTCCTTGAAGTCGAACCATCCGGGCCCCACTTTGTCCGCCCCTTCTGTTGCCGGGCTGACCGCCGATGAGACGCGGGTGCCTCTATACCACACCGTCCCCGTGGCGAACTCCACCTCCAAGTGCTCGTGTCGTCCCCCCAGCTCCAGGATGCAGCGCTTAACTTTGGCGGCCAACTTGGCGCGCAACCTGCGCTCCGGCGGCTGGGAGATGGTGAGGTACATATAACGAGGTTGCCCCGTGTCTTGTCGGACATGCCCCGTCTGTAGCTTGGCATTCCTCACTTGTGCGATCGCCGCTTGGATTCTTTGCCTGTGCCCCTCTCCGCTTTCCCCAAGTCGAGGTCCATGGAGCGGTATAAGCGCGAACCCTCTGCGGATGCCGGGGACGAACATGTCCTGGTAGTCGAGGTCAACCTGTAGCTGTCTCAGCACTTGCGTCGCCTTCTCAATGACTTCATTGGCTGGAGTGTTGTCGTTCCAGCCCCCTACCACCAGCGCCGGAGCTCTTCGCCCCCCAATTCCGTCCCCCTCCGTTGTTGCGGTGCTGTGGGCTGACGGTCCTCTGCCCCCACCGCTGGCCTCCAATTTCTCGATTCTCTCCTCCAGGCTGCGCTGGCTCATCTCGAACTTCTCCTCCAACGCTTTTTGCCCCGCTGTCAAGTTGGACACCGCTTCCTGCTGGACGTCATGCTTGTCCGTGAGCTGCTTCAGCAGGAGGAGGGTGGTCTGGAGTTGCTTGGTAACCTCCGATTCCACCACCTCGATGCGTTCCGCCATCTCCTTCTTGACCCCTGCCATAGCATCGTGGATGTCTCCCTTCATAATTTCCTGATGGCCCTTCAGCTCGGCCTTGAGGAAACTTTCCAGGGAGAGTCTGTCCCCTGCCTCTACATCCACCACGTCCCCCACGGCCTTGCGTTTAGAGGGGGAGGAGTGGTCCCCTGGTTGGCCCCCAGACGTCGTCATAGATCTCACTCACGGTGGCGATGCCCAAGTCACGACCCCTGGGTTCACAATGTCCCTGGCGGGGTGCAGGAAGTTCCGGATCCAAAGCGGTCCTCAGTGTCCCCCGCTCGCCTCCGCGGTGGTAGAACGGCTCGACGGCCAGCAGCGGTTCACCTCGTTCAACGAACTTTCCCCCCTCAAGGTCCACAACCCCCGCGAGGAAGGCGCGTAGTTCAGCACAGACACCCTCGTTCTCGTATGGCGGCACAGGGGAGAGGCGATCACTCTCAGGCTGCCCCCCTTTCAACCCTCTCTCACAGCTGTTTCTTCACCGGTTGTCCCCCGGACAAAGGGCTGGGGCTCGAGCCGCTCGTGGCTTGAGCCAAAAGTTCCTCTCTCTCTCTCTCTCTCTCTCTCTCTCTCTCGCGCTCTCCTTCTCTCTGACTCTCGCTCTCTAGTTTGTTGGTGCTCTTCTTCTGTTGTTTCCTCCACAGCGGGCAGGGAGATCAAGGTTGCCTGCATCACCCCGGACCTGTGCACTCTCTCTTCCATCTTTCCTTCCTCCCTTCCTTCCAGCGAGCTTAGCCCCCGAGAGGGTCGCGCCAAGGCGCTCTCGCTCGCTCTCGTGAATGTTTTCAAATACGGTCATGCCTCGAAGAATGAACTTTATTTACTGCAGTCGCGTAAAGGCCAACAGCAGGGGGTGTGTGGGGGGGCGGGGGCAAAATGTTAACACCAACTGCAACAAGCTGATTCTCAAGTAGCCGCAAGTAGCCAGAGCTTAGCTTGCGATCCCTAAACCCTAAACCCTAAACCCTAAACCCTAAACCCTAAACCCTAAACCCTAAACCCTAAACCCTAAACCCTAAACCCTAAACAATCAGCACAGCACAGAGGCGACCGGGTCCCCTGCTGGGCAGCCTGGACACCACTTCTTCAGCTCCTGGGCCCATTGATCCTTGCGCAAAAAGCATGGTTTGGGGTTTAGGGTTTCGGGTTTGGGGTTTAGGGTTTAGGGTTTCGGGTTTCCGAAATTAGGGGGTACCTTCTTGGGGTCCTTCTCATAAGTGTATCCTACTATTTGGGGATCTATGTTGGGGGTCCCCTATTTTCGTGAACCCCCATATGTTGGCCAACGTGCGCTTGGCTCAACTGGGGTAGGTTTGGGGGCTCTATAAAATTGAAATGTTTATGGCTTTGCAAGGATTTTATAGGGGATCCCGGTCAAGAGCACAGTTTCGTGTTTAGGGCGAGTCAGCCAAAGTGAGGAGAATATTTCGCCAGCCAGCACCCCAGCAGACATCACAGTCTCCCCCTCCACGCAGCCAAGGTTCTAAAAGCGTCACGGGCATCACCACCAGTACGTGCGTGGCCTCAGCCGGGTGACCCCAAAACCAAGCACTGCCAGGACAAAGAACTGCCCGCTGGCCCAAACTGACAACTTCCACCCGAACCATGTCAGGACTGAAACACACACCCAGATCTTCCAAAACCCCTTGACTAAGGAGAATACCCTAATTACTGCCAAGGATCACGATTATGAATTCGGGGTATATTCCACTGAATTAAGGGGTTGTGTATATTCCTCAATTATAAGGGTTTTTTTGGAAGATCTGGGCACCTCAATGAGCATCCTCTACGCGGGGACCGCACCTCTCTCGCACGGAGAGCCTGGATAAGGCCGCAGGCCTCTCCATGAGTGGAGATTTGGGATTATAAGCTTCAGACTGTGCTGATGTTTGGGCAATTTAGGGGGTTTAGATTAAGATCCAGATGGGGAGAGAGGAATGCAGCAACTCCTGTGCTGATGTTTGGGCAATTTGCTGGACGTCCCGACCAGCAGCACATTCTCCGGCGAGGGTCCCATACAACAAGCCCGTCTCCGGCAGCCTGAACTGTCTTCCCAAGGCCCATCTCATCTGCCAGGATGCCTCGGCTCTCAGGGTTTAAGGTTTAGGGAGAGCACTGGGGATGTTGTGCCTCAAGGTGCACGTGTGAGGCGTGCTTCTGTCTGCAAGAAATGGGGGCATCGTTGCTTACAACTCGAGCGCGAGGAAATGCCGCGGAGAATCTGCTGGGGGATGGGGCTGAGCTCCTCAACCTGTTGAATCTTCCATCAAGCGTGCAACTATTCCGTTTTCGGCCAGGGGTGAGCGGAAAAGTCGTGTGCAGACCCCTATTCCGGACGGTCCTTGGTATTCTTCCGTGCAGACTACAGTAGTCAGAGAGTCTACAACCAGGCGAGCTGCATGACCCAATGGCCAATGTCATTGAGTGAGCTTTCACAGCATCCATTCTGAGAAAGATTGCATGTACAGTGCATGTAAACACTTGTTTACAAGCTCCTGAACGTGTAATGCTCGCACTGTCCTAGCTCTGACCGGCGGAACTCGGCAATCTTGCACGTTGCTTGTCGATTCTTGTTTCGCCCCAGCCCCCCCTAGCGGCTCCAGAATGGCCTCGTCTGGCGCGCACGCGACGAACCGCTGCCAGATGACAGAACAGAGGCCACACTTTTAAAGCAAGCACTTGTGCCGTAAACCCGCAACCCTGAACCCTAAACCCTTTTGACCCCGCGAGCTCTGCCGGGTTTCACAGCTGTGAACCCTAAATCCTAAACCCAGATAGTTCAAACACGTTGGCCTGGCATGGCGTGTTGACGAACCACGAAGGCGACCGGACGCAACAACAAATCTGGGAGACCCTTGGCCACCTTGGCCCAGATCCGAACGCCCTCGAAGACGTGGAAGACGCAGGCAAGTAAACGCCAAACACACAACCTCGAGCTCCAAATGAACATTAGAAAGTGCTCATGGTTCACATTAACTGCAAATATCGCAGTATCGGGTATATGACCCCAATGTTAGGGTCCATTTGGTCCCCAAGGAATAGACATTTTTTGTCTCAAGGCCCGAGGTGCCCCCATGCTTTCGGCCGTGCAGATGCCACATCCATGCCACACCTTCCCGTTGCAGGTGCTTAATGAAGTGCAGCTCATTACCTGCCACACTGCCCATATACAAGTATGGACATAGTTGATATAAAAAAGAATATAAATACATCTATATGCATACAGACATACATACATACATATACATGTATAGAAGCCCTGCGACCCTGGGACTTGCTTTGAGTGGAGTCCCTCTAAACTTTTTTGGGGTGGGAGTCGTTACCTCTACTAAGCCTATGTCTACTGTTCTCCGAACACAAGCCGAAGCCAAACAACCTTCGGCCTTCACGCTGGTAGGGGCAAAGGCGGTCGTGGAGCGTCTGTGGCAGATGCAGCGGCTCGCCCGACGGCCCCGACGACAGGCCTCAGATTAGGCTGCATAGAGGTAGACGACCGGCACGGGCAACATCCGAGTTGGAAACTTTACGATAACATGCTATGGGGTTAAGAGAAGGCATGGGCTTTGAAGACTTTGTTGCTCCGTCGTGTCTGAGTTCGAGGCTGTGCCGACTGAGCAGTGGTCAGAAGGCGACGATCTCATGTGCACTGGTAAAGCTGCACCCTCACTCACGAGACGAAGCATGCCTCATGAATTCAAAAGAAAAACACCACATCTTTTGTGACCGCAAATACTTGGAACCCACACCACTGCCGCAGCCTGGTTGCAGTCAGGGACTGGAACCTCGATCATCGCTTCGTCTTCAGGGCCCTGCACCTGCAACTCCAGCTGGCGACTTGGGTGAAGCTTTTGGCGAGCCTCTGGCTACCACAAACAGCTGCCTCTAGTTCTCACTTGAGGGGCTGCAGCCTGTTACGGGTTCATATGGGTACTCATAAGTAGGGTTATAATATAAGTACACTAATTAAGGCTATAAGTATAGTTCCCATACTCATAACCCTACGGATAACTACCCATGAACCTCCAAGCAGCCCGAAAGCCTAAACTCTAAACCCTAAACCCTGAACCCTGAACCCTGAACCCTAAACCCCAGCCCTCGCTTTTCTGAAACCCAAGCTCTCCCGCCTGCGACGCAGATCGGGCACCGATGCCTGGCTCGATCACCGAGGTTGCGCGACGGAGAAACTCGGCAGGGCCTCACCAAGATCCACCACATGGGTCCCCTTGTTCTTGTTGATATAACGTGTCGTGGTAGGGTTTAGGGTTTAGGGTTTAGGGTTACTTGTTTTAGGGTTCACTATTTTCAGGCTGGTTGTGACTTCTGAGGCGAGCAGTGTCTTCAAACGAACAAAAGGGACACCCTCAGTGTGTCCGTTTATCTTGCTTGAAGATGCAGAAAATGATCAAGAAGGACACCCCTTGGAAGGAGAGAGAAGGAGAGAGGAGAGACAAACAAGGATTGCATCTTTAATGGGAAGAGCAAAGAAACGAATAGAAGAGATATGAGTAGAGAAGAGGGAGAGACAAAACAAGGCGCAGAGAAGATGGCACTCTTCTTTGTCTATCCTCTCTGGCATCGAGGAGCCGTTGCTTCTGCATAGCTCGTGGCAAGGAAGCACGCAACTGCCCTAAAAACCCTTTCCGAACCGTTTTGAACCCTAAACCCTAAAAAAAACCCTGAAATCCCTTTTTGGAACCCTAAAAACCCGAAAAACAGACCCAAAAAAACCCTAAAACCACTTTTTGAACCCCAAAAAACCCGAAAAAACCCTGTGTTCCCTCGAAAGCCGGGCGCCTCCCAGCTCGGGCCCCGACAAAACATATAAACCTTAAACGCCATGAATATCTTGGGGACCAAATGAACCCTCAAAGGGTTTATGGTTCATATACCTGAATAGGAATTATAATGGTATAGGCATCCTAAACCCTAAACCCTAAACCCTTTTGCAACTGGGCTCGGGACGAGCGACCCCAAACCCTAACCCCTAAACCGCCTAAACCCTTAATAGGCCGACAGAAGTCCCCACCTGGAGCCACTCCGGCGGAGTCGCCGAGCTGGGCAAGATCCTGATCCCAACTCAGACGCCGGCTCAGCAATTAATAGCGTTTAGACTGCGCTTAGGGTTATAGGGGTTTGGGGCTTTAGGGTTTTAAGGGTTAAGGGTTTGGGGTTTTAGGGTTTCGGAGGCCTATTTTGTTTCAAAGTTTCAAAGGGCAAGGCCAGGCAGATTGGAGGGTCGGGATCGAAAGATGGCTGCCAGGCTTTGTTTGAAGGCTGTCAGTTGTTGCCCAGATGTTGTGGATGTAGTGTGCCTTGCTTCTATCCGGTGATCAGGTGCTGCAACACATTCTTTCGCGTGGCTTTGAATGTCAGGGTGCGAAGATTTCAGCCACAGATGCTTGCGAAGCTTGACTCAGGCTGTGCAGCATGACTTCAACCGAGCCGCATCGACTTCAAGGACGCTTGGTGGACCTTTCTTCTGCCGCTTTCGCTGCGGAGAGCTGGAGCTTGCACGCTGCATGCCGCACATCTCACACTCTGTCAGGGGCTCCACATTCTCAAAAGTGCACACTGCGCAGGTCCAGTTCTCCTCCTTTTCCTCCTCGCGCAGTCTGACAACCTCCCTGGCATGACGGTTCTGCTGCGGTGTGCTTGAAGGCTCGGCTTGCTTTGGCTTCTGCTTCGGCTGCTGTGGCTGCCGAGGGTGCTGGATGTGCTGCTGAAGCTGCTCTCGCTCTTGACACGGCCGCGGCTGCAGCTGCCGAGGGGCATTTGCCGGCTGCGCAGGGGGCTGCGCGCGGGGCTGCGCAGGGGGCTGCGCAGGGGGCTGCGCAGGGGCCTGCGCAGGGGCCTGTGCAGGGGGCTGCACTCGCCGCTCCTGCAAGGCGCTTATCTCCTCTTGCTGCTTCGCAATCGTTGCTTTGAGACGTTCAGCCTCCTCGACCAGGGCAGCCACCCGATTATCTCCTCCCTCCTCCTGCGTCTCGGCCTCCACAACTGTGCCGGAGGCTCCGCGAAGCATGGAGCCCTGCAGCCTGAGAGCAGAATTCAGAAACGGCCAGAACAACGCACGGCACGTTCTTGGAATTATAATCTGTTGCCTGGGTCAGACAGATGTTCGCCTTCAGAAATACTTAGAGAAAGTCTACAAGGGCAGCAAAGAAGCTCTGGAGCCAGGACCTTGTACAAATGCCTTGGTCTCTGTTTCCCGACAGCCGTACTTAGAGATGCAGTTTGGTTCAGCATGCGGTGTGAGTACCTGCTGCGCATACTCGCCATCTTGGAACACCCCCCCCCCCAATGCGCAGCAGCAGGAGTGTGAAGCTGCAGCGACTTAAACCACGGTCTACGAGTGAGACGCCATAGAACTAAAGAGAAACGGGTTTGCTAGGACATAGCTTTCCCTAGCCCGAAACCCTAAACCCTAAAGCTTCCTTCTGTGTATTTCGAACGGGCTTGAAAGCCTTGCGATGCAGTATGCAAGAAAAGATGGCAGCTTGCAGCTGAGAGCAAAGTCAGCTTGGGCGACGCGCTTACACGGGTTTATAGGGTTTGTAGGGTTTCTAGTGTTTCGGGTTTAGGGTTTAGGGTGCAGTTTCAAAGTTGCGCACATAGGCGCGCCACAGCCAAAGGGGGCGGTGAGTACCTTTTCAAACTGCCAGGATGGGCTATTAGGCCTTAGAATCCCCATAATCAGTCACTAGCCCATCCCGGTATGCTGGTATGCGGAGGGGCAATGGGGCGGGAGGGGACCACTTTAGGGGGCTATCACACCTCTGCCTCCCCTACCCGGACCCTATTACAATTCATAAGCACGTTCAACGACTGATTTTTGCCTGCACGCAAGCCGAGACCCACTGCGTCAATGGCTAGGCACGACCAGGTAAACAGGAATATTCGAGATTGCGTGCGAAATGTAGTGAAGCGTTGCGATGGACGGTGGCACCAAATCTCTGATGCGAGCATACTGTACTTGGGTTGACGTTTACGTGATAGCCGTAGTAGGCACCATGGCCACAAGAACTGCTCCCCCTTCGAGCACGCGCTCGGTCTCTGTGTTGCAGATCCAGCCATCTTCGATGCAATTTCTCGTGATGTTCAGGATGACGGCAGACATTGTTAGTGTTTTCTATTCTGGACATGTCTTTTTGCAGTCAGGGTACTGTGCCTGTTCGTACTGGACATGAACAGAACCATCTGGCCAAATCTCACGGATGATGCCAGGTACCCATTGCTGGCTGGTCTTCGAAAACCTGACATGCAAGCGCGAACGCGGTGTGTGACATTCTGTGTAGCAGAGGCACACGCTACCTCGGGTTCGGGGCATAACACACATGTGCAGTAAAGGGCGTGGGGTGGATGTGTAGTGCACGAGGCGACAGGGCATATGGCATACGCCGCTGAAAAGTGATATCAGTCGTCTGGTCTCAGAGTGCTCTTCCACATCACTTCCGTCACGCGGAGGAACTTCTGATTCGTGTGACCCCGACACTCATCTGCGACTTAAAGCCCTAAACCCTAAACCCTATTTCTGCATCAGGACTTGAACCCTAAACCCTATAAACCCTATAACCCCTCTAAACCCTATCGCTGCCCAGCAGCACTTGGACGCGCTGCCCAAGGATGTACTCTGAGGCCTCTGGGGTGGCCTTCAGTCTCAGCGCTGAGGACTGCAGCCTGCACAAACACGTCAAGGGCACTGTCCGTGTAATATAGGGGCCTGAAGAATTAGGGTAGGGTTTTGGGGGTTATTATGGTATTAATAATTATATAGGGACCCTAAAGGAATATTATTAGTAATTATTCCGACCCTGTAGTACCTTGTATCTGCCTTCTTAAGTGTGTGGGGAGCGGAACGGATGCAAAGGGCAAAGGGCTAGCGGCGGCTAGCGGCTAGCGTGGGCTAACATGTGCTATCAGAAGGCTGCCCGCGACGCGCACAAAAGCCATCGCAAAATGAGCATGTCACAGTAAGTCTCAGGATCCTGATGACCGACGAGCACAAAACTTAGCAGCTGCGATTGCCAGCTTCTTGCCAGAGTATGAGTCTCTCGTTTGCCGAGGCTCTACCCTACCACACCACCGCTAGTCAGTTCAAGCAGCTCTGGCGGAATCACCTTGTGCGAATTTCCGTACCTAGGCGCAAACAGGTCACGCGTAAATGCACACAAGCGCACGACGCACTCACATTCGCAAGCAGGGATGCATTGCACACCACGCACCCAGCTCCGCGCACACCCGCGCAGACAGACAGACAGACAGACAGACAGACAGACAGACAGACAGACAGACAGACAGACAGACAGACATGTCACACACAAACGAAGACACCACAAACACCTCAGACACCACAGTCGCCGCAGCCGTCACAGACACCACGGACACAGACACAATAAACCACACAGACAGAGACAGAGAGACAGACAGAGAGAGAGAGAGAGAGCTGACGCGCGCACGCACGAGCTCGTGCAGGTGCGGACGCGCACGGACACGCACAAGCGCACCAGCGCAAGCGCAAGCGCAACCACAAGCCAAACAACCGAACACGAACGCGGTCATACGCACACCTACCTCCAAACCCTCCTCACATCGGAGCGCAGGTTTACCGAGTGGACAAAAACGGATAGCAGTTGCATGGTGCTTGCTAGCTTGCAACGAGTTCTTCGATTGCCGAGGCAAAGTTGCAACCTGCAGCTGTAGACTTGCATGGTATGAGCAGCAGACTTCTACTCGAACCTCTATGCAACTGTTTAACTGCGTACCTGAAATGCCATAAACCTAGACCTGATCAAAGTGCCAGCCGAAAGAAAAAAGAGAATGGGTTGCTGCCGGATTGCCGAACCCAAATGCCCTTGTCTGGCAAGATCTGCTGGACTGTGGCATCTACCCAGGCCTGGGCAGGGCCCAGAATATGCTGGGGCAAAGTTGACGCCTCTCGGGAAACGGCAGCCTCGCCGAAACCTCAAATCTTCTGTAACCTCTGAACCTAAACCCTAAACCCTAAACCCCAAACCCTATGCAACAATCAGACTGCATGCCCCAGGCTGGACTGCAGAAGGGAATCGTTGCTGGACTTTGAGAGAACCTGAACTCCTTGACCGACGCGATAGGATGCCTCGGCACCGTCGGTGTGTAGGAAAAGGAATGGAATGGACCTGCTTTCCAGTAGGGCCTGCAGGGTTTGGGGGAGCAGGAGGGTGAAGGGCTCAAGTCGGAGGACTGCGTCTCCGAGGATGGGGTGGTAGGCTCCCTGAAGATTCCCACAGCACGCCCGGGACTAAGGCCATGTTTACGGTTCCACTGTTAGCGGCTTGGTTGCGACCTTTGTTCTACAGCGACTGGCATCGTGTAACAATGGTATGAACGCTATAGATGTCCTGTAAAGTCCAATTGCATGGCGGGACACAGCTGCCGCTGCTTGTGGCGCAGGTGCTGCCATGCCCTCTTCCCCCATGTTAGAGCCGCTGCTGGATCGAGATCGAGCATTGATTCACACATGCCCTGAAATAGCTATGTTGGAACCCCAAGCACTGCCTGCGTCATCACATATGCGATGTACTACGTATGTGGGCCCGCGTTGCCTGTGGCTGGGCATCTCGTCTGCAGTAGGTGACTACAGTACTGCAGACGGCGTGGTACATCCACCTCTGTACGAGTAGGGTTGTGCTTGTCAGATTGCGTCAAGCCTCATTTATGCCCAGAACACCTTCGCAGCTTTGTGCAACTCTGCACGACATCACAAAACCAGCCACAGACCGGCTTTTCGGCAGCTCTCAACTGTGAGCCCCTGTGAAAAGTTTATATAGCCTCCGGGTCATCATAGGAACCCCCTATTAGAAGCAGACGCTCATTTTGGAGAACTGTCGGCGCAAAACCCTAAAGCCTAAAGTAAAGGCCCTCAAGGCCCGAAACCCCCCAAACTCCAAACCTCACACCGAAGACACAGGCGCCCGGCCGCAAGGCGTCCGCAGGAGCCGTTGAGCTCGGGCCGCTTCTCCAAGCCTCAGAGGCCCTCATAGGTCCCCGGACAGCCAGTGTACAGATATATTTTAACTAAAAGAACCAAACAGCAACAACAACGGCACACCAACAACAAAACAACACAACAAAACACAGCAAAACAGCAAAGGAACAAAGCAGCAACAAAGCAACAACTAAACAACTACTAAAAACACAAACAGCACAGCAACAAGACAACAAAGCAACAAAAACAGCACAACAACAAAGCTACAAAACTGCAAAAGTACAAATACAAAACTACACAACTACAAGCTACACAACTACAAACATGCTGTTTTGTTGCGATTGTGGTTGTTGTGTGGTTGTTGTGGTTGTGGTGGCGGTTGGTGGTGGCGGTGGCAGTGGCGGTGGCGGCGGCGGTGGCGGCAGCGGTGACGGTGGCGGTGGCGGTGGCGGTGGTGGTTGTGCTGGCGGTTGCGGTTGCGGTTGCGGTTGCGGTTGTGGTTGTTGTCTGTTTGTTTGTTCGTTCGTTTGTTTTTGCTGTCGCGGTCGCGGTCGTCGCGGTCGTCGCGGTCGTCGCGGTCGTCGCGGTCGTCGCGGTCGTCTCAGTCGTCGCCGTCCTCGCCGTCTATACGCCGTTGCCACCGTCGTCGTGGCTGTCTGTTGCTGGTGCTGTTCTTGCTGCCTTGCGGTGCCTTCTTTTTGCTGTGCACACGGCCCAGCTCGCTTACTCACTCGCTGGCCACGTGGTGTGCCTTTCGCAACAGTTTGGAAAACCTTGCTTTAGTTACCCTAGTTCATGCTCTCTGTGCGGGGCGCCTTTAAACCAAAAACAACACGGACGCCAAACCACACGTACCCACCCAGCAAAGAGCATGCAAACTGACTCGAGCAACCAGATTTATGCTTGCCCGATCTCCAACACTCAGAATGTCATGCCACCGGCGACGACCTGCTAAATTCAACATATCTTTTCACATAGACCCAACTCTTTTTTCAAGTACTGGCATGATACTGTCAGGTTCAGGACTGCACGCCACAAGGAGACTTCAAATGACGCAA